CGGGGGCGCCCAGGTGAGGACCCCCCCCCAAAACCTCCACCTCACCTTCCCGCTGCCCTGACGTGCCAAGCGGGCACAGGGAGACCCGTGGGTGATCTCTGCCACCCCTCCCGGCACCGCGCTCTCCCCCCACAGGCTCTGAGCGACACCAGCCAGAAGGACCCGGCGGTGGAGCAGGATTTGGCCGAGGAAATGTAAGAGGCGGGTGGGGCTCCCAGCTCTGTCTTCCCCCCAAAATCACCCAAACTCTCCAAGCATTGAGCTCCGGTTGCTTTCCCTGTGCTGGCAGCGGTGGGGAGCTGTGGCGCCCATGTCCCAGATCCATCCAGCCAGGAGAAGTGACCAAATTAGCCTGTTTGCACCCCCCTCCCCCACCCCCGAGATGCTAATTGCAACCTCCGGGGCTGGTTGTGTGTGTGTCACCGGGGTTCCTCCACCCTGATGGGGATTCCCCCCCGCCCTGGGGCAGGAGGATATGGAGCAACCCTGAGATTTTTGCTCCCCTCTTCCAGCATCCTGGGCATACGAGCCGTGGAGCCGCCGGAGGAGGGTAAGATCACCAAAGAGGTGGTACCAGGTATAGAGGTCTTCTCCAGCAGCGCCTGGGCTCCACAGGGCCCCCTCGAAGCCCAGGTGGAACCAGAGGAGGACCACAATCACCTCCACCACCCCGAGGACAATGCCAGGGAGGCCAATGTCCGCAGGCCACCCTGGATGCTGTCCCTGCAGGTGCAGAGTGGCCCGGAGGAGGACCGCGACCATCTCCACCACGGCTGAGTGGAGATGTGGCCGGGCTGTGAAATGAGGGATGGGAGCCACCCCTGGGGCTTCCTGAAGGAAATCGTGCCTCCCTACCCACCCCTGAACCCCCATCCCCTCCCCCAATAAACCCATTTTCCCCTCCATGTCCTGGTGGGCTCCTCATTGCTGCCAGAAACCCGTCACGAAGTGCAGGGCCACCCCAAATCTGGGGGGGGGTTCGCCCTGAGACCCCGAGCAGGGTGAGGATGATGCCTTGGGGTGGGGTGGGGGGACTCAGCCCATCACCCCAGGTGGGGCCGAGGCCAGGGAAACTCAGCACACGGGTGTTGTGCTCAAGAAGGTGCTGTCCCCCTCCCTGAGGGACACACGGAGCTGTGGCTCCACGAAACTGCTCTTGTCCAGCTGAGCATCGGGGTGGGCTGGTGGGGGTGGTCTCGGTGAACCCCACCGACATTTCCCAGCGCGGCGGGGGGACACCCCCACAGCAAGGACGCCCCATCTCCCGGCAGTGCCAGGAAAACTTTTTAATAGCAATGGCAAACATGGTCCCTGGTGCCATGCTGTCGTCTCACCCCAAGCAAGTATCGGTCGCCGCCGGGTCCCGGACCCCTCTGTGGGGTGAGGTGGGGGGAGTGACGGGCAGCAGATGGCCACGGGGGACCTGTGCCACCCTGGGCTTAGCTGTCGGTGAAGTTCGCCTTGCGCTTCTCCACGAACGCCTTCATCCCCTCCTTGCGGTCATCCTGCGAAGAGCAGAGAGGTGAGGTTGGGGGGAAGGGGGGCTGCGGCAGCCCCGCGATCCCCCC